TTTTTTTTTTTTTTTCTTCTTATACACTTTATTTTCTCGATCTCCCTTGTTATACAGTTTTTCACACCACATGTGGTTTCTACATTATTACAATACTCTTGTACACAACTATAGCTCGAGTATATATTTATACGATACGAGTGCAACTTACAACGTGTAAGAAATAAAAAAATAAAAAAAAGACCAGCCCAAGCAAACGACCCTTCGAGGGCATAGGGGTCCTCGTTCGTAACACACGGCAATGAAAGAGAAAAGGATCTACGGGCCGCCTCTGGTTGCAGCGAACAACGAGCAGGCGCGCCGAGCCCTTTCGATCTCGCGAGGCTCCCCGACGACATCCGTCAGAGCGAACATGGCACTGTCCTCGTCGAGCAAAACTCTCGCCCTATCGGTCGCCTTTGAGTAATCCCTAGCCTCCCCCGCGCCGAATATCAAAGCCATTATTCCAGCTGAAAGTACATAATTATACCAACGATTAACAATTTTCATCATCCGGCGTACAGGGGCACTTACGCTTGTCGAGCGGCGCACAGGTGCACTCGGGTTTCATCTGCAGCTCCATCGTAGCCCGGAGCCGGCCGGCGTTGGCTACCTTGCGGGGACTCAGGTCAAGGAGCAGCCGGACCTTGCGCGATCTCCTCACAGCCACTTTGACGACGCTCGTCGACGAACAGAACAGGTCCTCCACGTCCGCGGGCAGTCCATCCTCGCATCTCGGGCACGAGACTGCTGTCCCGTTGGCGATCCGCGGCGTTGACACCGTCCAGATCGGTTGGCTCGTCGCTGCCGTCGTTGTCGCCCCGGATACAATTTCGGAAGTGTTGTTGTTGATCGTGAAGAAGGGCCCGGGCACGTATACCGGGACTGGGCCCTCGATCCCGTTGGGCGTATCCAGCTCGTGGTCGACGTTCACAAAGACGGGAGAGAAGCCCTCGTCCACCACGTCGAAACTCGCCAAGATCGGCTTGGCAGAGAACAGCTGCTCCTCCCGTCCTCCCTCGGCACCGCTACCCTCGCCCACTGACACGCGTTTGTTAAAAAAAAAAAAAAAAAAAAAAAAAAAAAAACAAAAAAAAATTGTCACGCTGTTATTTCAGCAAGAAAATTATACGTACGATCCGTCGTCGTCGGCGATGGCGCAGTACTCCCCGGTCTCTGAATCACCTGCACCGTGGGATCGATCTTCTTCTCCCTCGTGACTTTACCAAGGGCTTGGTCGTCGACGTGCCTGGGAATCTCACCCGCGGACAGCTGGTTGTTGAACTCCTCGTCGCCATCGTCATCCAGGTGCATTTTCCTCGGCATCGGCTCGTTCGTTTCGTGTCCCGGTTTCTCGCTATCGTTCTTCTTGACGCACGGGTCAACGAACCTGTAACTCTGCAACAAGCGCCGACGCGTTCGTGATCGATCGATCGCAGTGAAAAAAGCTCCAACTTACCGTCGAGACCGTGAGCTCTTGCTGATAGTAGTCGTAGAGCTTGATGTTGCCGGGCTCCGCGTTGTCAACCACGTTCTCGCGAACCGCCTGTAGCGATATGCACGTCTTTTGCGACGTCAGCTTGTCAAAGTAAATGACCACCGTGTCCTGGTTCTCCTCGAACCGCTTAACGCCTGGAACCGTGCATTGGTCGTACGTTTAATAATAACAATTCCCTTTTAGCTCATGTGGATATACATTAGTTCGTGGGACACGTACCGGTAGCGTGCTCGTCGAGCAAATCGTGGAGACTGCTGCGCTCGGGCGTGAAGCCGGTGACCATGCCGATCTCCAACAAAGCCATGTTGCTCTCCTCGTCGGCGAGCTTGTACCTCGCGCAAACGTTGAGCCTCTGAAGCGAGCACCGGTCTTGGGGCTGGTTGCTTTCAAGGTGGCCCACTGTCGGCACGCTCTCCGAACTGGCCGTCAACTCGAAGGCCTCGGATCCCGTGGCCTTGGCCTTGTTGTACCTCAGGCTACTCTGGGCGCGTTTAGGAAAGAAAGTCGTGAGGCCACTTGACATTCGCGCGTTGTGGACGAAAATCGAATGAATTTTTAATAAAAGCAACGATCGAATGAGAGAGAGAGAGAGACCTGTACGAGCAGGCAGCCCTCGCCCTCGGCGAAGATCTCGAGACTGGTCGGCACGGTGGGCAAGTCGATGCGCTTCAAGACCGAGCGGTTGTCCTCGTCGATCTTGTAGAGCTGCTCGAGGTCGGTGGCCGTGACGAGGACCGAGAGCTCGGTCGTGCTCGCATTGGCCATGGCCAGGGCGAACTTGGTCAGGGCCTCGAGGCCGAGGATCGTGTCCTGGGTCGAGGTGAAGCCACCGGCGGCGTTGCGCTTGCCGGAGCACAACCAACGCACGGCTCGAAGCGCCTCCATCAGATTTGCCTCGCCCCCGAGTTTCAGCAGCGACAACACCCCGTAGGCCGTCATCTCGACGCTCAAGCTCAAGCTGGGTCGGCTCTTGTCCTCCCACCAGACGAGGTTCTACAGAGAAACACGGTATAAATAACACATCCTGTCATTGGAGGGAGGGAGGGAGGGAGGGAGGGAGAGGAAGAAAGAATGAAACTTGCATTCTGACGAGAGGCGCGATTCATGAGAAGCCGCAAGCTCTCGTTGGCCCTGGGATGCTCGAGGAGGGCGAGGGCGTAGGTGGTGAGGACGGCGCTGTACGGATTGTCATCGGTGGCAAAGTCCTCGGACGCGCTAGCCTTTTCCAAGCAGTAGAGGGCATTGTTGACCAGGGTGTTGCTCGTGCTCAGTGGCACCCCGGACTCGAGCAAGGATATCAGCACGTAAGCGGTCAGGGCCGACGAGCCCTCCTCCCGCAAGCCGCCCTTCATGTCCTTGTGGAAAACTTGCCCGACCACGGGGAAGCAGCCGTTCTCCAGTTGCCTTCTCACGATCCACTTTAATTTTGTTATGTTAGAGATTTGTGATAGCATTCGTGTATTACACGTGTAATACTTTATTTGTTAACTATCGGGTGTGGTGAAGTAATGGAAAAAAAAAAGAAAAAAAAGAAAAAAAAATACCTTGACACTCGACTTGAGGTCCCTCTCGTCGATCTGGATCATTCCCCGGGCTTGGGCGAACGATTTCACGACGAATGCGGTCAGCCACATGGATCCGCTGCTCCCCTCGTCCGTGGGCCCAAACGCCGAGTAAGAGCCGTCGGGGTGCCGGTAGTTCAGCTCCCTCTGATATCCTAAAATCCAAAGTGGCCACAATTATATCACAGCTCTGAGAAACCAAAAACAATAACAGAGTTACCTTTGCGCATGTTATTGAGAGCCTTGGCCCGTATCTCGGAAGCCTCGTGTCTGCTGATGGCGTCGAGGTAGGCTATCGCGTGGATGTTGGGCACGAAGAGGATCATGTTCTGCTCGCCGCAGCCCATGGGCAATCTGACCAGCTGGTCGAGGTTGTCGAGCGCCGGCCCAAGGACGTCACCGATCAGGGAAACGTGGGCTCGTACGCTGCCTTCGACCACGTGCTCACCGGATTTCGGTAACTCCAAATCCCACACCACGGACGAGTCGTCGCTAAAGTCCTTTGGGCAGAGGAACGCCGACTGGCTCACCTCGATCGGAAAACCCTCGGCTTTCACCAGCACCGGCTTCACTATGTCGTCCCTGCTCGTGTTTGTTAATAATATGATTTTCTTTGTCACGTCTCAATAACACATGTGTAACAATGAGTGTTCCTGCCTCGTGTAGGGTATGTCTTTGGGGCCGCAGTCGTGGAAGGCACTCGAGTCGACCTCCGCCGAGACGCTGATGTTCAGTTCCCCCAGATCCCGGGGCAGAAGTAGAAACTCGTTGACCACACTGTCCTTGCTCGGCACGCAAAACTTGGCCACGGACGATTGATTGCCACTTGGCGCCAAGTCGAGGCCGTCGTGCTTCAAAAGTCGGATGGCAACGGGTAGCGGGTGGTGCATGTAATTGAAGAGTTGAACCTTGAGGTGCAGTTGCTCGCCGCGTTTGATGCTGTAGGGTAAACTGTAGTCCAGGAAAAAAGGTTGGAAAGCCGTTATCTGACTCGGCACGCCGATTCCCAGGCCCTGCTTGCTCGATATACACACGGCCTTGCCGATCCACTCGGTTATGGTGTCCGGTAGCTTGCGCTCTATCGTTGCTCTACCCTGATTTCTGGTTTTGTTTTTTTTTTTTTTTTATTTTTTTTANTTTTTTTTTTTTTTTTTTTTTTTTTTTTTTTTTTTTTTTTTTTTTTTTTTTGTTCATTAAATACAAAGTTATACTTTAAAGAATGTAAGGAAGCAACAAGCAAATACCCGGTAGGGATGAGCTCCCAGATCCAAGTTTCCGGAAAGTAAGATCTGACGATGGTCGAAGTCTGTAGTTCGGCGGACATGGGGTCCACCTGGTAACCGGTGTCCTGAGTCGCGGCCGTTGACTCGGCGAGTACGTTTCCTGGCGCGTTGAACTGGAAAGCCAGGGGCATCGCCTTGACCGCCTTCAACATTCTGTCTGAGAAGCATCAACCAACATTCTAATGTTACACAACCAAGACGGTTCAAAGGAGAATGTAATTGTAGGGACAAACAAACATTTTAGCTCACCAGGCTCGTCAATGTCTTCCTGCGACATCGGGCCCATCGACGACCGACCCGGGCTCAGTCGCCAAGGTGGACAGGGTCTCGATTCGAGAATCAAGTCGCTCATCACGACGGTCCCAAAATCCTGCGTGGATCGGTCGATATATCATTGCACTTGGGAGAATGTGTACACATGTATGATAAAAATAATGATTGATTGTTGTCCTCACGTCAAAGGCCTGAATGGCGTCGACGTAGTTGGCCGCAAAGTTGTACGTGACCGAGTGGCGCTTTTCCCGAGCCGCGGTGGCAACGGGTTTCGGCAGGTGGTCGATCTCCTCCTGCTCCTCCTCGGCGCTCGACTCCTCCGCCGATTGAGAATCTTTGAAAAAAAAAAAAAAAAAAAAAAACAGTCAAACAACCAACAACGCCAACACGCGTATGATGGGATGAGAGAAAGTTCTAACTGGGGGCGCAGTGGGCCCAGCTGCTCTGGAGGGGCAGCGTCTCGGCGGGCAGGTGGAATCGCTTGAGCCGGTTGAAGACGCTGTCGGGTTCGAGGAGGTGCGGCTCAGCGGCAGGACCACCCGACGACGGCGGCACAAGGAAGCGCGTCGACTTGTCGACCGCTGAGATACCGCAGAGGGACATGGGCGCGGCCTCGAAGTGGAACTGGGCCATAGAGCCGGGTCTCTGTCTGCTTTCGTGCCAAGTTATCTTGACCGGGTTGTCGAAGCACTGGCCGATCTCGATGCTGTGGCTCGAGCTAACCACCTCGTTGTCCGGTCGCACGTAGTAGAGCAGGAGCGACGAGACGGGCGCCATGCTCGCTGTTATTTTCACGCTCAGTGGGAACCTTTTACCCGGAAAACAAAGTGTTGTTAATGTATATTGGTGGTGATGAAACTCGGCGCGTGCACCTGTGAACGACGAACTGATCGGTGGGCGAGGATGACTGATCGCTCTTGGATTTTGGGTTGTTGGCGCCGAGTACGTTGCGAAACTCGGCGTAGTCGAGAAGGGCGTCCTTGCGCGGCTTGTACTTGACGTGGCCAAACACGAGGATGTCGCTCTTGGAATTGATCGAGTAGTGGAAGCTTATGGGCTTGGCGTCCTCTTGCGCCCCCAACGGACTGGTGTACATGACGTTGAACGAGTACTTGAACAACAAAACTCGATGGTGATTTCCATTTGTTTTTTTTTGTATATATTTAACATATTTGTGCACCTTTTCTCCGCAGACGACCGGTTGGTAGCCACTGGTCACCATGAGGTAGCTCGACGAGGGTGAGTACCAGGGCTCGACGTCTATGTACGCCGACGGCTGATCCACAAACACCTAACGGCGCGATACAATTTGATCGGTCTACAGTGTACGCGTGTAATAGGTACAAAGAGGAGAAATCATACGGTGCGGTGGAGTCAACTCACTCGCCAGCGCTTGTTGTCGTAGTACTTGTTCGGATAGTCGACGGCAGTTGCGACGAAGCTCAGGAGAACGATGCTCTTGTGCTGGGGGGGCACGATGAAGGACAGGAAGCCATCGGCGTCGGCCGAGGTGAAGTTACGGCATTCGACGACGGACCGCTGCCACTCGTCCTTACGGCGGATCCTCAGGCAGACCTGGATTTTCTCGTTCGGTGCCGGACTCGAGCCGTTGGGTTTCAACACGCGCAGCTTTAATAATCATAACAACGCGGGTGTTCAATTAAGTATACGCCTATCCTCTAAGTTATTAGACATTTTTCAACCAAGAATATAATCAACAACTTAAACCCCTGCAGAGGGAAAGATATTCCGTGATCATAAAATATGAAAAAAAAGTTGTTTTTTTTTTTTTTTTTTTTTTTTTTTTTTTTTTTTTTTTTTTTTTTTTTTTTT